ATATTATTTATTATATATTGTGACTGAATAATATGTGGCCCATCCTGGGACCTATCGAGATGGATCGATCGACAAATTTTCATACGTAAGTTTAAAAAAAATTGAATATTTATGACAGTTTATTAGTTGTAATGAATACGGGATGAAAACTAAACTTAGAAATTATTTAATTGAAAGAAATTTTAAAATATAATATATTTGTATTTTTTAAAGTTTTCAACATTCACTTTTCGATGATAAATCTCGACAAAATTCAAAAAATAATTCATCAACACCAACAATAATTATTTCGAATATTCGATATACTGACCCAATTTCATCACCATGTCTTATATTATATAGTCTAGTTCTACTTTTACTTTGTGCTTTACCAATTCTAGCACTTAATATTTATATACGACAAGCTCTTTCTACGTTTCAACAAGCTAATTAAATACATAATCATGATTAATGTATAAAAAATTTTCTTTCTCTTCTTCTATCAACTAATCTGAACAATAGAAAAACAAAAAAACATATTTCTCAAGTAATCAGAAACTATATTCAGTAAATAATATATGTACATTTATGTCTCATATAATAAAGTAATTGTGATATGTCATCTGGTAGTTATATAAACGATTTATTTCATAGGGATAGCTTTTACTATCGGCAATGGACGACAAAATTACCAGTGTTGATACTCTTATACTTCAATGTCGAAACAGATACAAGTTCCTGTTGTTTCTCTTGATTACACTTAGATAGACAGAATGAGAAGACGAAGAAGAAAAAAAAAGAGGAGAACTTGCATACACGCACGTCTTTACTACTTGAGCATCTTAAGATCTATACAATAAGAACAAGAACACTAAAATTCAATACGCGCTATAGAAAAGTTGACATTGTTGTTCGTATTGTATATTAGTTGAGTACTTCTTGTCAGCACGGACTTATGACTAGATCTGGAAAAAAATAGATTTGAGTTGATAAGAAAGAACGGAACAAAACGATTAAAGAAGAAAGAAAATAAGAGAAAAAAAAACGAAGAAAACATTTATTTATATCATTTGGATTAATCTAGACAATAATACTAATACTAATATATATATATATGTATGTATGTATGTACATGGTAAGAGATGATCGCGTTTCGGTTGACATCATTTTTCACAGTGCGCGAATGTGTATGTTGTTACTGTCAGTTAGACATATCACAATGTGTCACATCTTTCTGTCTTTATATGTTGACATTCAGTAGATAGGCGACAAAAAACAACAAGTTTGCCCATTTATCTCTTTACATACACAAACAAGAACATTATCCTCATCTTCTTATCAAGAAGTCAACAGGACGATTATAGACAATCAACTAAAAAAACACACTACCATCATGTTACTGTTGTCGTATTGAGAATATATATATATATATATATATGTCTCATTTTCTCATTCTACTTAGTAACTATATCTTCTCGTTGTGTCACCTTCGATTAACACAATATAAAAGAAAGAGAAATCTTTATGATGACAGTAACATAGACAAAAGCAAACTAGCATCATACAGGAAATGATCATCGCTCATCTTCAAGCCATAATAACTTCGTAATAAGTTGATACATCATGATTTCTACTCAAGAAACTCTTAAATTTCTTTTTTTTCTTCTTCATCTATTTTGATCTTGTCTATTTATAGTATTTTTTCTTCATTTTCGTTTTCACTATTTCTACTTATAGATAGATAAATTATTTTATTGGTATTCAATGAGATTGACGAGTGTCGAGCATACATACATATTATTTTAAATAATAATCATGATTGTATCATTAATATTGATAATATTTTTACAATGATCAAATAAATTCAAGGATATACATATACATATATATATATTTGAAAAAAATTATTATAATATTAACAATGAATAGTACTGGCATATATTTAAATAGAACAACAACAATTCTAACTTTAATAATGAATAAAAATCAATCAGCCAATACAACTATTATTGAATCATCATCTTTAGATGATGTATGTAAAAATTTTCATGTAAGTTTATTATAATTATCAATTCAAATAAATATATTCATTCATCTTTGCTTGTTATACCCAAGAGACAATATTTTCTAACAATTTCTATCCGAAAAGCGTGAAAACATATTAAATTATTCTTTCTTTCTTTCTTTATTTAGCTTATTATTTTTCTTTGTATTATATTTGTCTTAATTGTATCGGCAAATATATCGGTTATACTTCATTTAAGTTGTTCAAAAAAACGTCACAGTCGAATGAGCTTCTTCTTATTAAATCTTGCTTATGCTGGTAAGTTTATTTTGTTATTGTTTTTTTCTTTCAAAAGTATTTTCTATAAATAATATTTTTTATCACCGAATATTATTATTATTATTATTTATATTTGACTTATTCAATCATGAATATAATTACAGATCTGTGGAGCGACAATAAACCGATTCTTTTTCTTTATGTAACACATCAATGATAATTATTTGTAAACGATTAATCGATCGAACGAATGTTTTTTGTATAAAACAAAAAGATCGAGATTAATAATAATAAAAAATAATATATTATGTATTTTATTTTTTATTTGTATTTAGATTTATTTGTTGGTGTTATAAGTGTTACTCGTGATATAATTGAAAAGAGCTGTATTCCATTTGGACTTGGAACTATTGGTTGTCGATTAACAAGTTTTATACAAGTATTATTATATGATTTTTTTATATTTATAATAAGACAAAGCTTTTTGTCGAAAATGATAAAGATTTATTTTTCTTTGAAATTCATGTCATATCGAAAATATATAAGTGATTTAATCATTGATCACTAGTGAATAGGAAAATTTATATTCATATAATCATTTTATCAATCATTTAGTTTTATAAAGATAAATCTGAAATGCTTTTTTTTGAATAAATTAAAAGTAAAAAGGTTGTTTATATACAATTGAGAAAAATCGACTACAAAGTTTTGATTTACTTTTATATTCGATAATAATAAAGATCATTTTTGTTTTCTAGGGTACAATATCCTACAATTCAAGGTAGAGAAATCATTTGAATATTTTTTTGTGATAAATAATTCGATTTAGTTATGTACTTGTTTGTGTCTCAATCGATCGTCTCTATGCAATTATTCGTCCTATGGACATACGAACAGCATCTTCAAGTAAATTATAACTTATTTAATATGAATTTTCTAAAAGTTTGTATTTTTTAGCATTTCGATATTCATTGATCATCGGTAAAAATGTTCTTTTCTTTTTAATACAATGAAGGAGTTTTTATTTATTTCAATTAATATATATAGCATCATGGGTGATAGCAATGACATTTGCATCTGCTCAACTCTATTTACGAGATATTGAATTAATACGTGGTATGCCAATATGTGGTAATCGATCTGATGTTGTAATAAATTGGAATGTAATATTAAATAAAATGATGTAAAAATTGCAAAGATTTATGGTTTTTTTCTTGTTTTAGGCTTATGTTTATTTTCTTTTCATTTCTTTATATCTTTTTCCGTTAATTGTTATGACTGTTTCATATGTGATTATAATTATAATTATACGGAAAAAAGGTTCACTTAAAATACAAACTGATCGATCAAGATTTCGTCGATTAATTTCAAGAAAACGATC